CACATTTAGCTACTTATTATGTTATTAGAGTGTCCGATCTGTTATCGCTTCTAAGGTAGAGAAGCTTCGGTATTAGAGAAACACATTACTAGGTATAGAGCTAGACAGAATATCGTAAACACGTACTAGGAGACGACCGGTTTATACTATACGCGCGGACTAATATAGGGGCTCGGATTATAACTGTCTAGCGGTACTAATAGCAATATAGAACTCTAAGACACACCGAACAAACAAAGTAACTATGCCGTAGAGGCGTATTAAGACGGCAATGCATAATATAACGCGGCTCTAATATAACCTACGTTATTATCGCGTATAGAAAGCGGACTATAGTAGCATATAAGGAGCTTTAAGGCTATAGTTACGTAAGAGGAGGAAGGAGATGACGAATTAGAAGAATACATTAGATTCGAGGCTAACAAAGACTATAACCTAACTAGTAGCTTTATAGACTAGGCAGAGATCGTAAGCGCAATATAGACGATACCTGCCGCTCTTGCCTCTAAAGACATCGATAATAACATATCTATAGATAAGAGCCTTACCTAGGCATTAGATGTAGACGGATCCTAAGACTTCCCCGGTAACACTAGCGAGACAGTGTCTTATACTAGTTCCGCTATAATCCGCCTAACTAGTAGGCGACTATCGTCTATAGTAGCGACCGAAGTACGCGAAGCATTTAAGGATTAATTCGGCTACGGGGCTAGAGTGCCTCTTCGACGGTACGGATAAGCCTAGAATAGCGGTCCTAATTGCTCTACTAACACGTACTAGATGCCTAACATAGGACACGACTAAAGTAACATTACTTAACGGATTTAACGGCAAGTTCGACTTTAGTTTTATACGATAGATCTACTAAGAGAACATATCTAAGAACGGCATCGAGCGACTTTTAAAACACCCTAGCATTAACGATTTAAGAAATATACTTAGTTAGAAATCGGTAGAGGAGCTAAGGAGAAAAATGGAGAACATCCCGACTATAGCAGATATAGGACCGTAGGTCTCGAAGTCGATTACCGTACTAAGCGAGATAAGTGCTATAGGTTCTACTACATATTAGATACGGTACCGCGACCCTATACGAGTAGTCCGGTTCTTCTTAGGACACGCAGGATTTCGCGACGACCTATACTATGCTCCTTATCGAGCATAAAGCGATAAGGAGCATACGTGTAGGAGGTATACTAATATGCTATTAGGGGATTAGTAGTAGAACATATAGGAGACGCTTAATTAGGAACTAGAGACGGCTAGTATAACTATTGTGCCGTTAATCGTGGCGAGCGATAAAACGAAGTTAATACTCTAGTCTAGAGACCTATAGGCTTATATAGTCTATTTATCGATTAGCAATCTTAAGGCTAAGGCTCGGCACTTAAACGAAAGGCTAGGTTTAATACTGCTAGCGTTACTACTATGCATTAAAGAGGGCGACGCNGCATCCCTAAGGCCGAGATAGAGTATTTAATGCCTCTCTAGGACGAGTGCATCTAGAACGCTACTATTAAGTCTACTAGCAAAGACGGCAAATTTAGCATAAAGGCCTTCGTAACACATATAAACGAGATGCGCGTTAACGTTTCCCTACCCTATCTTTCTAGATTAAAAGAGGAAAACCCTGCCCTTATAGAGGAGCTGCTAGACTACCTCGTTAAAACTGCTAACGCACTCCTAAAGGACCTAAGAAGTACCGAACTCTACTAGCATATAAACGAGATCGACAAATGCCCGTTATTTATAGGCCTTCGCCGTTTCTTAAACGTAATCCGCGCGTAGAAAAACTTTACTAGAAAACATCTACGTAAGGTCGTAATTGTAGCGTTTGTTCCCTTCCTAATTATAGTAGCTAATATCTAGATAATGTAGAAGCTCGACTAGGAGAAGAATAATGTAGAGGGAAGTAACGACCTTACTACTTTTAGCGACTTTAAAAAGGACATTGTCTTTATTAACGTATAGACGAAAGATAAGGCTACTTACTTCGACCTCTTTAAGGGTATAGGAGAGGATGTGTACGCCGACTAGCCTAGATATCTTATAGCTACCGCCACTTAGGTTAATAGCGGATTAAGCTTAACCCCTGCCGACGTCGTCATTGCCTTAGACACTAGCTAGATCATCTAGATGCTTATCTAGATTAGCGGACGAGTTAGACGTGTAGAAATGTCTTAGAAGGCCCCGTTTACCGAGATGTTCATGTTCGTATACTACTATCCGAACATTAGGTTATATAAGTAGATGCTGTTACGCATCCTATCTAATAAATCAATGCGTAAGGAATTAGCGGACTATAGTGTAAAATTACACTAAGAATTAATGGACATTAATTAATAAGTTCGGTAGTGCTAGTAGCTAGATCGAAGAGAAATGTAATAACGTATAACTATTCTTATATACTAAATGATGAAACTATTAACTATAGTAAGACCTCTTAGGAGGCGAAAATAATGGGAGGAATTAATGTAAGCGAGCTAGGTCTAGTAGAGCGTCTAGCAGACTCGAGTAGGCTACTTAGCTAAGAGCGCTCGGGAGGCGAAAATATTAGGAGGAATTAGTAAGAGCGAGCTAGGTCTAGCGGAGCGTCTAGTAGACTCGAGGGGGCTACTTAGCTAAGAGCGCTCGGGAGGCGAAGATATTAGGAGGAATTAGTAAGAGTAAGCTAGGTCTAGCGGAGCGTCTAGTAGACTCGAGTAGGCTACTTAGCTAAGAGCGCTTAGGAGGCGAAGATATTAGGAGGAATTAGTAAGAGCGAGATAGGTCTAGCGGAGCGTCTACTAGACTACTCTACTAGACTCGAATAGGCGACTTATAAAAAAGGCATACTAGTGCATAGACCTACGCGTAACGCTCGCGTTTTAGTAGTAACTAAGCTACCCTTACATTATAATACTACACATTTAGCTACTTATTATGTTATTAGAGTGTCCGATCTGTTATCGCTTCTAAGGTAGAGAAGCTTCGGTATTAGAGAAACACATTACTAGGTATAGAGCTAGANCGGCAGTAGTAGTAGTAAAGGAGAAGAGGATAAGGGAAAGGGCTAAGGCGAATAAGAGGAGAAAAGAAAGGATGTTAGCTAGATCTAGAGCTTAGCGTAGGAGGAAGAATTAAAGGGGAGGTCGGTAATCATCGTAGGATAGCTTAATAATGGTCTACTACATTAATAGTTTCGCTCTTTTGTTTTTAGATTAATAGCGTACGACATTATAACTAAGAATAACTAATAGTATACTAGAAGAGATAGCCGACAATCTAGTAGACGATCTAGTAGACGATCTAGTAGACGATCTAGTAGACAATCTAGCAGACAATCTAGTAGACGATCTAGTACAAAATTTCCTATACGATTTTATAGACTAGCTAGCAGACAATCTACGAGATAGTCTCGTAGTAAGTATACGGACGGTAGTAGAGAACATTTCGTAGATAGTCTACTAGACAGTCTAGTAGACAGTCTCGTACGTAAGTAGGATTATTTAGTAGTAAAGTAAGCTAAAGCGCCCCCTAGCGCTAAGGCAAATTCTAAAGCGCCCCTAGCGCTCCCTAGCGCTAAGGCAAATTCTAAAGCGCCCCCTAGCACCCGAAAGCACCTAAGCGCTTATACGGTGATTATAATTTTGTGACGAATTAGAAGAGGTTTAAAGGTTAAAACATGGCGCGTACCTCGTATACTTCTGACACTTTATGTCCCCCTATCCCTCTAAAGTCTATTAGTGTCGCGTATAGGGGAATAGCAAGGTATAGCGATAAATAGGGTAAGAGAGTGTAGCCTAACGCTTCCTTATTAAATAGAACCTAAAATAATCGTTATCGGAGCTGTTATCGTCGAGAAACATAGTATAGAAGTAATGTTAATAGGGTCGATACATGTATACAGGAGGCCAAGAGATATTAGAGCACAGGGCAGCGAGGGTCATGTAACTAGCTAATAAACCGAGCTGAGACCGCAGCTAAGACCGGCGGCTGAGACCGCTGAGACCGGTTGCAGACCCTCTCTATTGGCCCGGATCTCGATATCAGATCTCAATATGGATCCCATTATGATAATGCGACTCCAATAGCTCGAATGCCCGAGACGCAAAGGCCACAGAGGATGTCTCATCACGCACATGTTTTGGATGTCTCACAGCATTCCGTGTTCTTTCGGAAGCCATTCGTGGTCTTGCGCAAGATTGTAGATTGACCCTATAGCAGTGCATAATATGCCGGTTCCCAGGTTTCATCGTTCACATTTTAGCTCCATTAGATTGACTTTGATCTGGCAGTTTCGCCATGCGATCCGTTAGTCGGAATCTCCTGAACTATTCGCAGCTATGGATTTAGTCCGATTTACTAGTAGGTTATTACTCTGACTCGGTATACATTTTCTGACGGGACCAAGACTTTTCGAGGTGGCCCTGACTCGGATGAGGGGTCGACTTCTGTCTCCGAATATTGGAGCCATCTATTGCCATGTCTCTCTTTCATGAACAACAAGACAAGCATATACTCTATAATTTGGAGAAAGAAGCCATCCAGCAAGTGATGGATTGGTCACCTCGGGCGTGATTTACGATGCACATTGAATGGTTTTCTCCCCTCCTCTGTGATACAAATTCGGCTCACGTCATTGCTCCACTGATGAGGGGTATGGTATTATAAAGCAGCTGCATGTACTTCCAGACACGAGTGCCGATATAAGAAGAGCAAGTTATCATCTACGACCACTGTGATCAGTTGACAGGTCCTTTCAACTACAACAGAACAATGTCGTCCTCTCAACATATCATCGAATCTCATGACATCTACCACGGTCTCCCAACATTCAAGGAAGAAGGTCTTACCGCCATAGTGACAGGAGCAAACGGTATCTCAGGCACCTACATGCTCAAAGTCCTAGGCCAACACCCTCAACGTTGGAAAAAGATCTACGCTCTATCTCGCCGTCCCCCTTCCGGTGACCTTCCCAAAAACGTGGAGCACATCCCTTGCGATTTCCTGAAGTCACCAGAGGTAATCGCTTCCGTTCTCAAAGAGAAAAATGTCAAGGGCGACTACGCGTTTTTCTTTGCATACATTCAGCCCGCGCCAAAGGAAGGACAGGGCATCTGGGGCAATGTGGATGAGTTGGTCTCGATCAACAAGTCCCTGCTCTCGAACTTCTTGGAGGCCTTGACGATGTCAAAGTCGATTCCTAAGGCTGTTTTACTGCAGCTAGGAGCCAAGTACTATGGCCTCCACCTCGGTCCCGGTACACCACCTTACGAAGAAACCAACGCCAGAGTAGAGCTGGAGCCAAACTTCTACTACCCTCAAGAAGATTATCTGAGAGAGTGGGCCAAGAAGAACGGGTCGAAGTGGATCACCACAAGACCCAGCCATATTCCTGGCGCGGTACCCGACAATGCGATGAATCTGGTACTTCCACTTGCCATCTACGCAACTGTGCAGAAACATCTGGGTCTGCCTTTGGAATATCCATCTGATCTCAAGGCTTGGGAAACCACTGTATCCATCTCGTCTGCACAGATGAACGCCTATCTCTCCGAATGGGCAGTTTTGACGGACTCCGCATACAATGAATCCTTCAATGCCTGCGACGACAGTGCATTTACTTGGGCACAACTGTGGCCGCGTTTAGCAGCTCGCTTTGGAATCGACTGGAAGGGACCAGATCTTGAAGCCGACTTCACAGAGTCAAAGATGCCCTATGAACCTCCACCAAGAGGATGGGGTCCCACTGCGACTATGAAGTATAAGTTTACGCTTACCGAATGGGCTAAGAAGCCGGAAATCCAAAAGGCGTGGAAGGAAATCGCCGAGGCTAATGGGTTGAGGATGACTGAGTTTAGTGATATTGACCGTGTGTTTGGTTTCACGGATGGAGCGTTGGGATGGTCTTTCCCTTTGCACTACAGGTATGTTTTCTCTTCCACTTGATGTTGTTGAGGTGCGAGTTTGCTGACTTTTGTGATCTGCAGTATGACCAAGGCCAAGGAGATGGGATACTTTGGATACGTTGACTCGACCAAGTCGATCATCAAGACAGTCGAGGAATTTGCGGATTTGAAGATGATTCCTAAGTTGCCTTGAGAAGGAAGTCAGGTGTGTGTTGGTGGCTCCTTTTTCGAGCCACGGCGTTTAGTTTAGTTATCAGAATGCAAGATGTTTTCCGCAAAGACTTGTCTGTACGCTGAAAGTGATACACGCTATCCGCTGAGAGTGATACACGCGGCTTACTCTCTATGTGAAGATACACCGATGTCAAACTCAGCTTGCATCCTACTAGATGGTCTGACAAGCGTCTGGGAAGCTTGAGACATGCATGGTCAGCGAATGCATGATCGCCACTTACTGCTGCAATGCGTGCTCGATTTCCACACCCTCGTGCATCAAGTGCGTTTCCAAACCTCACCTCAACCACGACCACATGCCCTCGAAGTCCGATCATTGTCGTCAGTCATCCGGTGTTTCCACTTTCTCGTCCAAAAGAGGGCGAACATGCCAAGCACAACATGTCCTGTGCGAAATTTAGCATCCTGAGGTTGCCCACGGAAGGAAAGGATGGTCCGAGGCGGTTGCCTGCTTGTAAGGATGAGATGTAAGAGGACCAAGGGTTCACAACCAGCACTGAGTGATTGGTTTTTGGGAAGGCGCGACCGAGTCGGATGGAAGCTCGTGGCTGGAGGAACGACGTCGCATGGAACAGCGATCGTTGTCTTATTGTCTCTTCTCGGTTCCTTGTCGTTACCAATCTCCAGTGTGTTCGATGTAAGTGTTGGATATGTTTGCCGATGTCTGGTTATCGTTAGTACCGCCGCTCTCTTCTTTTCTCTTTCTCTATTCTGCAACCCTCAGCGTCTGGTAGAAAAAATATCATGTCCTCCCATTTCTATTCACCTTCGCCATCAAACAATCATACATCCCTATACTCTTCTCGCCCACGCTTCTTCTACCCCTTCTCTCGCTTATCCCCCCAGAAAAAAAGAAAAGAAAAAACAAAATTCCCTGCCCCCACAAAATCCCAAAATTTCACCAAAATTTCACCCCCCTGCCCTCGAAACACAACCACAACACCTCTATATACTCTGAGGGTCATGGCAAGGGCAAAAAGAATGCTACTCTATGAACCTGACCCGACTTGAACGGATGACCTTGTGGAATTACCTAGTTAAGACTGGAATCACACGCGCTACCGCTGCGCCACAGGTCCTGTGAGTGGTTGATCGCTGGATAGCGTGCATGATGTTTCTCGGCGGTATGGAATGTGGGTCTGTCAAGCCCAGGGACAGCAGTAGCAGATCGGATAAGAGTCAGTGGTGGAGCGGTTGTGTAAGATGATATGGAAGCAGAGGGGCAGCAGTAGCGTATATGAATGACTGAGAACAATACCAAGCTCTTTGGGTTCAGATCTTGATGTTCCTGCTTTCATCTTGTGCACACACGTGCAGCATTCATGCAAGGCTTTGGAGAGAGACACAACTCAAAGCTCGAATGTAAATGAGACTGCTTCCATATCAAGCAACTGGATTCCTTGTGCACACATTCAATGATATACAAAGGACACAGATGCCGATCCATGACCCCAACAGCGAAAGTGTGCTTCTTCTGATTGAGACGTATGGTTGAGAGTGCTACCCTGGCCGATGGCTATGTCTCCTCTGCCTTGAATTGGCGCATTGAACGGTAGCTAGACAAATCATGAATTGCCAAAGTTGCTAAGCACAAGCGTAGCGTGGCTAATGTGGACAAAGGTCGTTGTGGTTATGAATATGTTTATTGATGTGAGAGTTTTCTGTATACACCTTTCTTTCCCGCCAGAGACACGATCTTCGCGACATCAGGCGACAGGGGCGAGCTATAAGCAATTCGCTTTGTTTTTTGGCCGCCATTCCCATTATTAAACGCCAACCGCTATGCAAAAAGGTAAAATGGTATTTTGAATCGTCAAAAGAAAAAGACACAAGATTCGGGTGTTCAAGCAAGAGGTCGATCAAGCAGAAGCGGCGTCGCGAACATCGGGCAGGAAGTCGCGTAGCAGAGCGACAAGATCATCCTGACGTGCCAGTTGTGTGAGAAGCTTTTCTTCAAACTCGCGCCAGGTGCGGAGGACTTGCTTATCGCCAGAAGTCAGGTACTCGTCTTCGTGACCAACGACATCGAGACGCTCGGCTTTTTGGATGACTTCGCTGACGACATCCTTTTCGTGCTGCATGCGTTGGATCAAACGGGCTTGTGCTTTGTATGTGCGCTGCAACAGTAATTGACGACAGCGGTCAGGGTCGAAGTACCACAAGAAAAGCGTTCTGCTTGGTTGGCGCGAGTTGTCCTTTGGCACTTCTTGAGCTTCAACAAAGCCATGTTCGTGCATGTCGGTCATGATACTGCGGATATCCTTTTGGCGCATGAGGGAGAAGTTGGCGACTTGCTTTTCATCAAGTTTTCCTTTCGAGTAGAGCATGCGCACAATACGCGTAGCGATACTGCCGTGGCCCGCATTGATGACTTGCTCGACTTCGTTGCGCTGCATCCATCGTACAAGTGCTGGGAAGTTAACCCTCCACTCTCCTTTGCCACGGGTGCTGACTTTTTGAGCGAAGCCCCGTGGATGTTCTGCTAGTATTGCCATGTGTTGCTCAACTAGTGTCAAGCGTTGGTTACGATCCGCAAACGCAGAAGCACTGCCCACGAATCTGTCATTGGTGTTCTCTCGTTTTGGGACATTGCCATCTTCCAAATCATCAAAGTCATCATCGTCACCTTTGGACAGTGTAGAGGCCAAGTCGAGTGTAGGGTCCAGGATATCTGTGATGTCGAGAGTGGTAGACGTCGGTTGGGCGGCTTCTTCATCGGCTTCGTCTGTGTAGATGGCGAGCTCATCGTAACATCTTGGGCATTTTCTCTCCAGAAGTTCCAGCAATGCGCCGTAGACTGTGGCTGTGACATCTCCGATAGATTTGGCAGCCAAGTTCTGCAGTGCCTGACTGCGCAGTGCGACATTGCATTTCTCCCAATTGACCTTCAGCACCATGTCCTTGTCCATTGTGACTTCATCCTCATCTTCAGCTCCGTATGTGCCAACACCATTTGCTGCACCTCCATTGGTTTTCATTCTTTTTGCAGATGGACCGTATCCATTGGATCTCTTAGGAACCTTCTTTACGCCAGTGACTGCATCGTCGGCAGCATCCCTCCACTTTCTTTTCAAATCTCTCAAAGCTTGCTCGTACACCACTTTCGCCTTGGGACCAGAGACCTTGCCATCGGGGAATTGTTCGCGTTTGACGACAGCGTCGGCTTCGTTGTGAGAGTCGGCAGGAGACAGGAAAGTGCTTGGACGGACCCTAGTGAGGAAGCCAGATTCCAGAAGCTTGCACAGCATCGAGTGAAGTTGTTCGGGAGTGGTAATCTTCTTCAGACCCCTTTGCGCAGGCATACCCTCGCCGTTGATGTGTTCGGCCTCGGTGTCAATTGCGTGCCCAGGGTTCTTTGAGAACTTGTAGGCATCTTCCAGATCTCCGACACGTGCATGGCCGAGTTGCAACAAATTGGAAACGAGCTGAGCGGCAGCTTCACCGAAGCGGAGTTGAACAATGTTAATGATCTTTCCGGATCGCATCAAGTTGTATGCGCCATTCCAGTCGACTTCGTAAAAGGTTTGCGGATCGCTACCGGCGGCGGACGAGTGAAGGACCAGATGCTGCTGAATGAGGACACTCAAGGCGTATTTGACATGGCGAGGAGAGAGCTGGGCGTTCGAAATGAGGGTCTGGAGGTTAACACGACCCCATAGAGCCAGGGTGCGAAAGACGTGGGCCGAGAGTTGACCATAAGACTCATCGACCAGGAGAGCGCAAAGCTGCGAATAGTGCTGTAAAGACTCAGAATGCTGATTTTCTGAATATACAGGGACTTCTATCGAATTACCTCGGCCATGATTGAGCGCAGCAGCGACGTCTTCCTCCGTCTGGATATACAATACGTGCTATGCTACCGCGACATGAGTGGGCGCAATGTTGTGGCAGGAGCTAAAGAGTCAAATCATTTTGAGATGCTAGGAAAGAGCGAGCGGGTCTGTGCTTTGACCTTTTGCTTGACGGCGGAACTGGAAGGTGCTCAGCGAATCAGAAGCGGCTTATTCCGACAGGCAGGAAGGAACCTCGAGCGTCGACATCGATCAAGAAAGACATCCGTGTATCCACCAGCTCCTCTCCCCTCCGCCAATTGCTCCCCGCCGGCACAATCACAATGCTGTCCTGTTCGGCTTTCAGACGGCCAGCCCAGCGCGCTGCCCGCAACCTCTCCGCCCAGACGACTCGCGGCCTCGCTGCTCCCGCCTCGGGTTCCTTCGCCTTTGAGACCGGTTCCGCCAATGGTGTCAAGATTGCCAGCAGAGACATGGCCGGTCCTATGACCAAGCTCGCCATCGTCTCCAAGGCCGGTACCCGCTACGAGCCCCTGCCCGGCCTCACCCTCGGCCTGCAGAGCTTCGCCTTCAAGGTCTGCGCCAGCCACCACAGAAACATACATCATACATGAGACTCATTCGTTCATACAGGGCACCCACCAGCGCTCCACCCTCCGCATCCAGCGCGAGGCCGAGCTGATGGGCTCTCAGACCTACTCTTCGCGCTCCCGCGAGAACCTCGTCGTCGGCGCAAAGTTCCTCAGAGACGACCTTCCCTACTTCGTTGAGCTCCTCGCCGAGGTCGCTACCCAGACCAAGTACGCCCCTCACGTCTACCACGAGGAGATCTACCCCCACATCCAGCTCGCCCAGAAGCACTTCCTCGGTGACGTCCTCGAGATGGCCGTCAACTCCGCCCACGGTCTTGCCTTCCACCGCGGTCTCGGTGTCCCGACTTCGCCTTCTTCCTCCACCCCTCTGAGCAAGTACCTCGACGCCGACGCTGTCGCCGACTTCGCCGAATCCGCCTACGCTGCCCCCAACTTCGCCATTGTCGCCAACGGTGTCGAGTCTGGTGAGCTGTCCAAGTGGGTTGGTCAGTTCTTCAACAACATTCCTTCCACTCCCAGAACCAACATCTCCAGCCCCAAGTCCCAGTACTTCGGTGGTGAGGAGCGTATTGCCCACGGTTCCGGTAACGCCATGGTTCTCGCTTTCCCCGGCTCAAGCACCCCCGCTGGTGACAACTACAAGCCCGAGATTGCCGTTCTCGCCGCTCTCCTCGGTGGTCAATCCACCATCAAGTGGTCTCCCGGTTTCTCTCTCCTCTCCAAGGCTTCCTCCAAGTTCCAGGGTGCCAACGTTGAGACCAAGAGCGCCATCTACTCCGACGCTGGTCTCCTCTCCGTTTCGATCAAGGGTTCCGCCAAGGATGTCAAGGGTGCCGCCCAGGAGGTCGTCAACGCCCTCAAGCAGGTCGCTTCGGGCGTCAGCAAGGAGGACTTCACCAAGGCCAAGGCCGCCGCCAAGTTCAAGGAGCTCGAGTTCGGCCAGAACATTGATGCTGGTATTGAGCTTACCGGTGCCAGTCTTGTCCAGGGCAACAAGGCCTACCAAATAGATGAGGTCGCCAAGGGCATTGACTCTGTCACCGAGGAGCAGCTCAAGGAGGTGAGTTATGTTGATCTGTTTCTGCATGCGACAAGTGCTAATTATATTTCCAGGCTGCCAAGGCTATCTTCGAGAGCAAGGCTTCAGTGTCATCGGTCGGTGACCTTTACGTACTCCCTTACGCTGAGGAGCTCGGCCTCAAGGTGTAAATATGATTTGGGGAAGCAGATGCAGCAAAATGTACCATTAAACCTGTACTCGCGATTCTGCGTAGACTTGCAATTTTTTCGTTTGTTTATAAAAGAGCCTTTTTCTTCTTTTATTTTTGCTACGAGTGTCGATAACATGTTAATTGAGTTTGATGAAACTGAAAGAGGGACTGGATCTGTAAAGGAAGGAACATCGCGTGAGGCTGCAGTCTGGTCAGGCATGCCATCACTTCTGGAGAGCACCTTCCTGAAGCCTTGACTGTTCTCACTCGTGTGAGAACTGCCATTTGATGTTCTGTTTCGTCTGTGAAACATGATGAATGTGGTAGTAGTACGTTTCACGTGATTTGCGGGCGGAGAAGAGTGCCAAGAGCGGAGGCCGACGTGCAAGTCGAGGGCAAGCGCATTCAATCAGTCAGTGCCGACCCCAAGCTCTCTATCAACCCTTCGTAACTACTACTCAATCCTCTTCAATACCGTCATAATGGTCGCCGCCTGGAAAGCCGCTGGTCTCAGGTAGGAACTCCCGGATCCGCGACATCCCCGAGCTCGGAAAGATTGGACACAAGCAAGAAGCGAAGGCTGATTCGAGGATTTGATTCACAGCTACAACCGTTACCTGGCCGTCGCCGCCCGTGTTGTCCGCCGCTCGCTCAAGGAAGACAAGAGATTGGCTGCCGAGCGCAGAGGAGAGATGGACTTGAGATTTGCCAAGTGGGAGGTGCGTTCGACCTGAGACCCCAACACCACGACACCGACGACTCTATCCCACGCCACGCATACTCCATACGCTGCATAGCAAGCACCAAGACAACATCGCTGACAAGAATTGTGTCCAAACAGAACGGCAAGCAGGGTGAGACCAAGAACCTCGCCGCCGCTCTCGCAGAGTCCACCCCCACCCAGGCCTCGTAAATTCATCCAGATACCATGCGCTAGGGAAAGACAAAGGGAAGGGAAGAAAGACCCTTGAGGGGTGATTGTACCAACATTGTCAATTTGCGAAAGTAAAAAGCATGAATGCAATCGTCAATCGGCACCACTCGTACTCTAATCCGCTACGGTCTCATGAATATGTCCCTGTTTGATGTGCTTGAAGTGATTTATTTGTGACAGACCGAATGAAGCTGTGATTATTGCAATAGTCGTCAACACATCTAGTCGAAGTTATACATGCTGTCCATTTTCCGAGTTCAATCGTGTTGTCAAATGATCAAGATCCATCTCAACTGCGAAGCCATACGAAGCCCGCCCAACACCTCGGACCAAGAAATCCAACAATGTCCCACGATTAATCCAACCCGCGCGATAAAACACCATGCAGCCAGATATAACGCGCTTGAACCTAGGGACCGGAGATATCAATCCCATCATGTCTTCTGCGTACAATGGTGGCAATTCGAGGTCATCGCAATATACGCCGAGACAAATAGCCGTCAGAGATATCACCAAGGATTTTTCAGATGCTTCGGCAGGTACGTTAAGAACCCCCGGACAAGAGTTGTTTCCGTTTCTCGCTTTCATGCCGAGAGAAATGGGAGTCGCGAGAGGCCTCAAGAGCGTTTGCCCTGTACTGACTAAATTGTAGAACTCCGGCAGGGACAACTCGTCAAAGATGACTTCTTCACACTTTTTGAGGCAGTCGGAGCGCTTGAGGTGAGTTTAAGTCATTTTGATGAATAGCATATACTTATATGGGACCAGATCATGGATCCTAAAATGGACAGCGGATTCGCGCTTCCGGAAAAGGATGCTGCGGTAGACAATTTCGACCCTTTGCAAAAGATGCTACCGGAGGAAATCATCGGTATTATGGATCAACTGCTTTCCTTTGAGGTATGCGTCTCCGACTAATTCCTGGTCAAACGAGAAGACTAACACGGTTCAGATGGCATGGCATCAAGGATACGCTCTTTCGCAGACGGTGTTCACATCTCTGCACATGTATTCTCTTTTAACACCCTACTACAGATCTCTGAGCGCTATTGTGTTCAGTCCGAAGAAGAATAGCCCTGGGGTTGTGGATCCACTCGTCAGCAGTGTTCTGAGGGCATTCTGTCTTGGTATCATCAAGTCTTGTGATGCGGTGATTCAGGAAATCACTTCTGAACATTACTATGAGGAAGAGGATTTTGTCACTCAGACATTCACACAGTACATGTTGAACGACTGTAGCCACGACGATGTTATTGGAGAAATCAAGAAGGCTTTTGGAGATCTGGAGAAACAGGGTTTGCCTACCGATGTTCAAGATGCCCTCAGATGCCGCTTGGAATTGCGTGTTCATTTGCTCGAGGCACTGGAACCACTTACACCAGTTGAGGTCGTCGACAAGTCTGAAACATGGAAAGCGGTACTCGACTCTGTGAACAAAGTCAATGATACGACCAAGCTGGGCAAGGAAAGACCTGATCTCTTTTCTGAAAGAGTACAAAGACATTTGGCCAGTAACACTCCGCCGATCCCCATGATCAAGACGAGTTGGGAAGAGGCGTATCCGCGCTTCAAGAGACTGGCTGAGGACAACATTGAAGCCCATCGATTTGCGAGCATTGAGAACCCTAGCCCCTTGAACGTAACTGTAAGTAACTATGGCTAGTCATTGCAACCGGGATCACGACTAACTGATCATTTAGCGCTTCGCATGGGACTTCTCCAGCAGATCACCCCAACCATCCACCTACTCACGCTCAGTGATGCAAGGCCTCCTCTTCAAAGGTCAAAAGCTCCTCACCCAAACACCCCATCTCTCCCTCATCCTCGAAGATATCCGCTCTCTCTCCATGGCTGGCGATCCCCTCCTCTCTCCTCTAAATTGGGAAGTCGAATTACCGACAGATCCTCGCTACCTCTCCTCTCGAGTCATTGATGAATTCATGGCAAAAGCACTGGACGAATACATCAACATCCCCCGCATGATACTCCAAAACCGATGTCGCATGAGAAGAACATTCTGCCAGAGCGTAGGCATCCTAGATGGTCTCCAAGCAGAAGCCGAGAATGCCGATGCCGAACTCCACTCCCTCTTTCCCTCAACATCTGCCCCCGGTCTAGAACGCTTCTACCCTCTGGCAGCATGGGCATGCTTCCACAAGCTACGCATCATGGAATGGAGTATACAACTAGGCTTCGAACTGGACGTATACCAAAACCAGGAAATGGCATACATGTACCGTTTCCTCAGCTTCGTCGCCCACACGAGAGCAGAACATCTCCAACATATCGATTTATTCCTACACTTGCGGATGAGGAAGTATAAGAAACAAGGCAATATCGCAATGGCGGAACAGGTGGCTACCTCTCAAGCCACCATCGCTTTCTTGACCGCTCAAGCTTCTTGCACGGCTGAATTCGCTTCTGCGTTGAGTTCGGTGTATGCTGTGCTCATGTCACTCGGCTTGATCAAGGATATCGACACCCAAGAAACTTACTCGACAATGCAGAGGAGGCATGAATTGAGGATGAAACCATACTTGCCCATCGGAACACCTTCTTTGCCGTCGGCGGAAGAAATGGATGCTTCTACAACCCTCACCTCTCAATCCTCTTTCTCGGCTGTCTTTACAACAATCTCTTCCCGCTTGGCGAGTGCGAAAACCGCATTATCAACACTAAAATCTGCGAATCCAGAAATCGGCAACTACAAGGGCTGTGAGGCTGGTTTCAAAGCCGAAGTGCAAGGGATACTCGGGTCAATCGTCGCCACCGGTATCACCGTTGTGTTGATCAAAAAGGTCGTCGAGGAAATAGGTGTGAGAACTGTAGCAGACGTTCAAGGCAAAGAAGACGATGTTAAGGAAAAATTCAAGGTTGAAGTTGTCGCGGAGAAGAGGTTTTCTGGCTTTTGGGTCGTTCCTAAAGTCGTTGGGAATTAGATGGGCGGATTCTGATTGCTGAGTGTGATTGTTTTCTTGAGCTGGCGGAAGATATCGAAGAGCAGTTGAAGTGTTGCTTGCATATATACCTGACCATGCTTTCTGGTTTTATCAGCTCTGGTCGTAGTCTGAAAGTATCATCTTGATCAAAACATCTGCTGATGCGCTCGTGGTGTCAAACTCACCTCTCGATCTCAAATCCTAAGCATTGAGGAGAAGAAATGAAGCATGTCTCAATCACAACACTTCTAACCACCCCAAACCGCATAGTCGATATAACCCACAAACCCAAGAATACAATGAAACCATAAAAATGGCACGCAACCCGCTGAAATGCAAAAAAACACCATAATCACGAACCAAGAGAAGTGGTCAAATATGCCACCCTGTCTCAACAAGTGCATGCAAAATATCATATCTTAAGAAATGGTCATACCAACTATCCTGAATCATCTGCCATTTATTTAGAGTACAGTGTATGCTTCGAACTCCTAAGCAAGTCACAAGTCGATCACAGTGGTTGTCACACGAGAAAGTCAGTTTCCGAGATGACGTGAGAAGTTGACGAATCTGACACATGCAAAAACACACCACACACTGTCTATTAATAGTGCACATATTCAAAGAGAATGTCAGAAAAAGTATAAGTTCATATGTATACCTCTGCATGAGGGGAAAAAGAGTTATGCATGTCTGATTTTCCTGATCCAAAACGCATGTATGCAAGCAACGCTATTGACAACGGAACAGAGCGAGAGAGAGAGAGAGAGAGAGAGAGAGAGAGAGGCATGGAAAACGCCGACTATGCAGTATGAAAGCATGCTTGGAAAAGCATCTGTATATTTACAGTAATGACAATAATGGATAGAGAAAAAGCAAAAGGTCATGACCTTCGTAAAAACACGCAACTTCTATGTCTTGAGATTTTTTACAAAGCAAAGAACGCGGCGGCACCGACTGCAGCGAGAGCACCGAAACTCTTGGGTCCGGGAGTCATGGCGACACCCAGAGCGCTGCTGGTGACGCTGCCAGAGGGGAAACCACCGAGACGACCACCGCCAGTTTCTGAAGCGACTGAGGTGACAGCAGCGGGAACACCAGTGGCGTCGGGAATGCTAGTGTTTGTGATTTCCATGATGTTGCTGCCGGTGCTGTTGAAGTTGGTCTGAGCGAGCGAGATTTCGTTGTTGGTAATGTCATAGACGACGTAGGCGCTGCGGAGGAAAGTGTCACCGAGGACGGGAGTGGTGCCGTCAGCAGGTGCAATGCCGATGATGCAGAGAGGAGTGCGACCCTGGTAACCCATGACGAGGACAAGCTCAGACATGCTGACACGGATGGTGGGCGAAGAGAAGGTGAAGTCAATGGTGGTGTCGTTGTAACGCATGTTGCAGTCGACAAAAGCAGCGCCGTACTCGGAGTTGTACTTGGCACCGGTAAGACGGTAGATCTCCTCAGTGATGTCGTTGGGCAAGTACATCAGACTGGAACCGGAGTCGAGAAGGGCAGCGGTGTTGACGTTGGAGGCGATGGAGTTCTCCTGGCCATTGTAGCCAACACCAGTCAAAGCGATGATGAACTCTGCGTAAACACCCTGCTCGGCGAGAATGGGCAAGGTCTGAAGAGAACCAGTGTACTTCTCAGTGTTGACACCACCGAAGAGAATTGAGCCCTTAGAGGCGTCAAGGTCGTTCAACCACAAGCTGTAGGCGTTGGTGTTGATGAGTCCAGACTGCATCATGTGCTGAGGCACGTTGACATATGATTCTCTCTGGTAGGTGAGGATGGCTTCGTTGGAGGGATAACCAATTCCGAGAATACCCTCCTCAGAACTCGAGACATAACCAATACCGAACTGCTGGGCAGGAAGATCGGCACCACCGATGTGGAAAGTGTCGGTAGCGTAGTCGCCCGATGAACCGGAGCCATCAACATATGAGATGTTGAAAAGACTGTTTACGTATTCATATGTAGAGGACGAGTTGGGAGCGTATGTGCCGGAGATGGAGCAGTCGTTTTGCTGAGTGTCCTCACACTGAGTCGAGGTTGCAACATTGACCCAGAGATCACTAGATCCGGTGTCGATGTGTAGTCTGAAGTTCTGCTCGGGGGTTCCCATCGAAACGTTGGCGAAGTAAAGTGTTTGCTCATTGTCCAACTCTTGCGAAATCGTGTTCTGACGTCTTCGTAGGCGGTCTCTCGTCAGGGGGTTGGCGACATGCTTTCTCTGGATCTCGTGCTCGATGACTCTTGATGCGCTGTCGGAACGCTTTTGCAAAGTGATGGCTTCAGCACCGATGATGGTGCTGGCGGCAAGTGCCAAGGTCGAGATATGTTTCATGTTGCTCCTGAAATCCGGTAGGCTTACGAGTAAGTAGTGACAGGACTCGACGTCGAAGATATATGCACGCGGTGGCGGAGGGTGTAGGAGGCGAAGAAGGCGATGTTGAGAAAACAAAGAGAGCTTTGGCAAGTGATGCTAAGAAGGCAGGCAAGATGTATTCCAGAAAAGATGACAAGAGGCTTGTATGACGCGGCCACAAATACGCCCAGCCACGAATGTTGTCGAGCCGTGATCCGCCCTTCCCGAGAGGATGACGCCGAGTTCTGGGGAAAATAGGTCTTGCAGTGAAGGCGATCCGCGGAATCGAAAGCAGATCAATCCAGATTCGAGATCAAGAGATGCGTGATGCTTTTTGTTTGCTGAACAATCTCTTGGATATCGCCGCACCGTTGCCGTGTGATCACTTGTAGCGTACGCGGTGCTATTTAGCCTTGGGCAAGATTGCGTCGACTGCTAGATCAAGCTTTTCTCGTGTCGGCCCAGAACCAAGGCAAAAAAGGAGAGTACTTGACTGATGTCAGAAACGAGCACCGAGGAGCAGGCTGCGCGTACGTGGGATTTCAAAGAAAAAGAGACACAGCCTGTCGCAAAAGAGGCGAAGCATCCTACTTTTGAACCATATTGTGCCTTGCTTACCGTGAGCCCTGATCCACGCCGAAGTCTGCGGAAGAGGCTGTTCTTACTTTTCGCCTTCTCTCGCGCCGCCCATCCTTCATGTGTAACCTTTCGAGTTCCGCTGCATGGCGGCTGATCGCCTGCGTTGTGAACGTGCGCCTCCGCGCCTCAAAGGCCCAGAAAGGTGGAAGTGCTCTCTAAATTCCCATCATCTCCACAAACATAGGAAAACCTCATCTGTTCATATAAAAATGCTCGTATTCATACAATCAAGTGGTCTGTTCGCTTCGACAATAGAGACTTTATATAACAAAGGAGATTTCTCACAATCAACACAAAGAGGTGTCTCGGTTCCGTGCATCAGGGACGGGTTGTTCTGCATGGACTTTAAAGGTACGAGAACGGGGTACTTCATTTGGTTGGCTGGCCATATTCTGCACCCCTGTTGAAAACATGGCCTGGGCATTCTTCAGGTGCTGTGTGTTTGCTGAGATGCATGAACTAGGATGCCCTCGAGGCTACTCTCAACCTTCCAGAGAATGTTCGATTCTTCTGTCCACGGCACAAATAAGAGATTAATTCGTGTTCATTTGGTCGTTGCATAGAATATTTCATATCTATTACTTTGGGATCCTGAAAGGATGGGCCTCCGTGTTGAAGGTGAAGTCATCCAAACTGATAACATCAGGTTCGCTGAAGATTAGGTAGAAGTACTTCAACGTCTCGGCTAGCCAGAAGCTTTCCATGCTGTCAGTCACCGACACCTTTCCGTCTTCTCTGGACACGTCTGCCAGCGCGCCATTGGCCAATGCTGTCTTGGTATTTTCTTGGATGGCGTTGAACATTCGCCATGCAGTTTCTTGCAGGTCTTTGCGTCCAGTGATTCTGTAGAGGATGAAGACACTCTCGATGGCTTCGGGTCTGAGAATGTATCTGCGATCGTCAAGACTTGAGAAGCCAGGTGGGAGACGCTCTTCGGCGATGACCTTCTGCACGTCCGCATTCTCGTCGCCCTTTCTTCTCAACACCTCTTTGTGCCACGCTTTTTCATCCCATTCACAAGGCTCGTTAGTTGGACACTCTACCATGTGGAAAACTTCCGGCATGATTCCCAAAGGCAAGGCTTTGTATGTCCAGATACATCCATCCGTCAACTTCCTGCCCATCTCAAGATGAGTCTGGTCGTTGAACAGTTTCCCACCCAAAGCAAACATGCCTCCAGCAAAGCAGACGAGATGCTGACCTTGGAAGTCAAGTCCACCTTTGTGATTTGCATCAACATGTGCCATTCCAGCAATCAGAATATCAGCGTTGTCAGGAGTCATAGGTCGCCAGAGCGTGTATCGAATGGCAGCGTTCATGGCGTCACGGTACATCTTCTCGTACATTGGTTCCAATCCACCAAGCAGGGCATACATCTTCGGGAGGTATTCATAAGCAGAATCTGACATGGCTCCGAGCGTGAAGTCGGTATGCCAAGTGAGATCCATTTCTCTGGCGTTGACGAGAATGGGCCACATTCCAGGAACATGAGTCTTGGACTGCTGTTCTTCAAAGAGCTTCATAACACGATGGGTGGCATCGAACCAGCGGGAATCACCAGTGATCTGTGAAAGGCGGGTAAATTCCATGACAAGCGAGCCGATCTCAGCAACAAGAGTGACAGGGTCAGCAATTTGAGGAGCTCCTCTGCGAGCGTCCATGACTTTCCAGCGAGTGATAGGCATGTGATTTGGAGTATCGAAGGCATGGAGCAGCATCTCACCGAGCTCCTTGGCCTTGACCAAAAGTCTTTCATCAGCGCTCAGGTCGTATGCCGACAAGAAGCCACCCATGTATCGGATTGTGGTTTCGAAGACATTAATCTCTTCCTGGGCTGTCGATGCGAAGTCGATGGAGACTGCTGCAGCCACGGCTTCGTTGAACTCTGCTTTCAGACCCATGATCCAGAGGGTATCAAGTGCATCGACTAGAGTGGCAGCCCATCCAGCGAAAGTGTTTCTTTTCTCGCCAGAGATTGGAGTGAGCTCATCGGCCATCCAGGCATGTTCTTTGTACGAGTTCCAAGCCCGCTTGAAGGCGTCAAGAACAGCAAGGCGGCGTTCTTCACGAAGCGTCTTTTCGGAAGAAGACTCTGTTGGGAAGCTGTATTGGATCTTGGGCAGCTTCTTCGGTTTGCCAGTAGGTAGAGCATGCAAAGACGTGACTGGATGTTGCTTAGGGACCTGGCTCCAATCGACATGACCGCCGAAAACGAGGCTGGAAGAAGCGCTCCATGACTTGAAGCCAGCGTATGCGACACGATCTCGATGAATGAAGAGGACGGCAGCGAAGATAGCAAAGGCTAGCAAGAGCCGGTAGCTCTTCATTTTGGGGCTGATGGCCATGCTGAGGAGGGACTTCTAAGTAGCGAATGGAAGAATCATTGCCCGATGTTGGATCGAGGACAGCGAAGGTCGAAAGGAATTGGGGAAGAGAGGGTTTAAGTGAAGCTGAAGCGCGTGCCACAGGAGACAAGAATGTGGTCGCGGAAGCAGCGATGATCCTCCTCTGATTGATTGGCCGAGCCTTGCTCCTCGCGCCTCGATAGAGCAGTAGCCGCCTGGGTCTTTACGCTGGGAAGAAGCGCCAGTAATTTCACAAGATCACGATTGGAAGGTAAAGATCAGTGATAGTTCCTACCGCAGCTCAGCATCAACGTGTATAATTGTAGTTCCAAGGTTCGAGCGAGATGAATTGAGAGAGCTTGTTTCCCGAGCAAGCTTAGCCGCGGACCCACTTTTCGGGACCACTTTACGCGTGAAGTGGAAACGCGTGCCTCAAAGACGCGGTCAAGCTGCAAGAAGACACTCAAAGGTCGACACTATTACAACTATACCAAAATGGTGACCGCAGGCCCTTCATCCGCCCAGAACGGTGCTCAAGCACGCGCAACAGCATCTGCTGCGCCTGGCTACGAACTTCCCTGGTACGAGATACGCTTCTCAATGCATGGGCTGAACTGACGCCATCCGCAGGGTAGAGAAATACAGACCCGTCTTTTTGGACGACGTCGTCGGCAACACAGAAACAATCGAACGACTCAAGATCATCGCCAAAGATGGCAACATGCCCCACGTCATCATCTCGGGCATGCCTGGTATCGGAAAGACAACCTCGATCCTGTGTCTGGCGAGACAATTGCTTGGAGATGCCTACAAGGAAGCCGTCCTCGAACTGAACGCCTCAGACGAGCGTGGTATCGATGTCGTCCGCAATCGTATCAAGGGCTTCGCTCAGAAAAAAGTCACACTGCCCGCCGGCCGCCAAAAGCTGGTCATTCTCGATGAAGCCGACAGCATGACATCCGGCGCTCAACAAGCCTTGAGAAGAACCATGGAAATCTACTCCAGCACAACTCGCTTCGCCTTCGCTTGCAACCAGTCCAACAAGATCATCGAGCCCCTACAATCTCGTTGCGCTATTCTCAGATACTCACGTCTGACCGACGCACAGATTGTCAAGCGTCTGACACAGATCTGTGAGGCTGAGAAGGTCGAGTACTCTGAGGATGGCCTTGCTGCTTTGGTATTCAGTGCAGAAGGCGACATGAGACAAGCAATCAACAACCTGCAGAGTACACATGCTGGTTTCGGTTTCGTCGATGGCAACAACGTCTTCAGGGTCGTCGACCAACCTCACCCTTACAAGGTCGAGACCATGATCAAGAACTGCCACTTGTGCAACATTGATGCTGCCTTGTCCATGCTCAAAGAACTCTGGTATGCCATCTTCCTATGCCCAAGTCAAATGGTCATCAAACTAACGCAACATTCAGGGACTCTGGTTACTCGTGCCACGACATCATCAGCACAATGTTCAAAGTCACAAAGACCATTCCCGTTCTCTCCGAGCACGCAAAACTCGAGTTCATCAGAGAAATCGGCTTCACCCACATGAGAATCCTCGAGGGTGTGCAGACATATCTCCAACTCTCCGGCTGTGTTGCAAAGCTCTGCAGAATCAACATGAAGCCTGGCCTTTTCGTGCTTCCAAAGTAGACATGGTGTTCTCTTTCCGAGGTTTGAGTCTTTTATCCTTAGCGTGGCGTTTGGGTGGCACAGAAGCAAAAGGTCCGTGAGTCGGAGTCAAGGCATGCCCCGAGTAGCTTGTTACAACGAGCGTTTGCTTTTCTACAACAACTCCCAGATGGAATTTGCTTCCGCTCGACCAGTTTCTAGATGGAATCATACAGCATTTCTCAACGATCGATGGTTATCAGTTTCAAAATCAGACGGAGCAACAACCCCTTCGCAACTGGCTGTATATGCCTTCCCTCTCCCCGGAAGAGTTCTGAGCTTAGATGGGTGAATGAATGAGTTGAAAAGTTCTTTGATATCTTGTGCTCCTATCGAGTCTTCTATTGTACAGCCTCTTGATGTGTCCGCTATGTTTGGGATATGGGCCTCCGTAAGTGTGTCACAGCGTGTCCGACCCTCGTAAAGTCTGATGCTGATCATCCTGTAGATGTGCATCTCGCAGGACGAACCCCTGCTCCTGTTCATGCGAGGTCAGCGTTCTCAATGCTCTTCCTTCTTCACTCTATCCGGGACCATGTTCAGGCTGTAATCTTCCACGATCTCGCGGAACGGTCCATCATGGATATTCCTTGCCTTGATCAATGCCAAGGTGAGCTCTCTTCTCAATTCTATCTCGCCCGGCTCCTCGAACTTCTTCTCCTGGCAGAACCCGTCGAAGCTGTCCTGGATATCCTTGAGTATGTTCTCTGCAATATCGAGTAGATCTCTCGAGCATTTCTTGAAAGCCTTGGCGTATCGCTTCTTAGCTTGGTCGCGGACGTCGGACCAAAGACGATCAACACGTTCCCGCATCTTCTCTGGTCGCAGTGTGCCAGATCCTCTTCCCTTGATATTCATCACCTCAACATACACAGGTCTCATGCAATGCACGATGATCGAATCTCCTGTAGTTGTGGTCAGATCGCGTCCGATGTTTCTGAGATCCTCTCGCAGGACTGCGAAGCACTTGTCCAAAGGCACTGCCAGGGCCTTCTTGTGCAGACCGAACTGGCGTAGCAGAGACTGAGGAAGCAACAAAGCTAGCTCTTCGTGGTTGCGCAAGTCGGCCTCCATTCTGGCCAGAGGTTCTTTGAGGAGCGCAAACATATGAACCTTATGCTTGTCGGCAAATCCGATTAGGTGGTCGATATCAGCAGTTATGCTGCGCTGGAGAATCTGTGCGAGATCCTTGTTACAATTGGTTTCGGTGATGAGCTTTATCTTCTTTTTCACTCCATAGGATTTGGCCAGTGAAGCATATTGCGGCGTGGTGTACTTGGATTCCCAGGTGTCGCAAAGCTTCGTGGCTCTCTTGGTCCAAGCATGCTCGTTGCTCTTCATACTGTCCAGGAGCTTCTGGACGCGTTTGTGTGCCTCGTTGAGGAAGGTTTCGATGTGATCTGTGTATCTCTGTGCATGATCAGCCAATTGATTTCAAAAACCTGTTTGGGAAGCACTCACAGCCGCAGGCCCTTCGACAGTTCTCTCCAGAACGTCCTTACGGGCAAAATGCCTCTTGTCACACCAGAGTTCAATCCTGTTGAGCACCAGAGGTAGTTGGTCCTGATAGAGGTAATTGACGTCGTTGAAACGGCCTTCGAGGGTTGTCTTGATTAGATGGTCAAGTACGGCTGAGATGCCAGTCTGTTCGTCAGTCAAATCGAGTCTTGCAGCGAGGCCACGCTGATATTGTTCGGACATCTTGCTGCACACTGGAAAGATATCCAGAGGGCGCTGGTCGCCAGTCCGACGCTTGTAGTCATCGATCATATTGTTTGCCACTTTGCTGTTGCGTTCCATGATGGCGGTCGACGGTGACTCATCTGCTCTCACCAGTCGTAACTCCTCTTCCAATTCTTCTTCCTGCTCAACGATAGCTGCCTTCTCCTGAGTCCTGCCTTCTCTTTTGGCACAGAGGCGTTGTTCACGAAGGTCAGCAAGCCGTGCTGTTAGTTCAGCCTGCTTTCCACTCAGACTTGTGTCGATGTCATCGATCTTGGTAAGGACGACAAAGACTTTCTTTCTTCTGAACCCTTCTTCAAGGCAATCGTTCAGAGTGTCGTCGCTCAAAGCTCTGATGATTGCTGCAGTGGGAACATAGTAATTGCACTCCCTCAGTGCTCTCCTGGATGTGAGTGCCTGGATCGAGTTCGAATCGTGCGATCCCGGCATATCAACAAGAATTACACCATCTTCAAGCACTGGGCAGCCTGTGAGACCGAATGTCGCCTTCTTGATCAAAGGCCAAAACACATGTTCATCGTCTTCGCAGTCCACTGGACCATGTGTGTAGTTGCGCATTTGCTGAAGCAATTCACTTTGTGTTGTTGATTGGAACTCCGTCTTTGCTTGACGAATGAGCTCTCCAGCCCACATGACCATCATGCTGACAATATCTCTGCCTTGGTCGCTTTCGGCCTGGGAGACGAATGATTTGGTAGTATGGTCTGTTTCGAACTCAGGCTTGTGGTGAAACAAGGCCCGAAATGTCTTGATATGAGCGGTTCCACGTTTGGCAACTTTCTCAACTTCATCATCCTCTTGTTGTTCAGCATCGCGGTTGTTGTCGGAGGCGATGGCTCTGAGAAGCTCTGAAACCATGGTAGCGAAAAGCTTCTCCAGCTCTATCTCGTCATAGAACAAGATCTCGGCTCGGAAAGGTGCAGTTTGGTTAGGCAAAGATCGTCTGAATTCTTGGATCATCCAGGTACAGCTAAGTCCCGTACTGCCATCCTATGCATACTTTTAGCACCATGTAAGGAAATTGCGATCTGTCTGACTTACCTTGCGGGCGATGTCAAAGATGCCCAGGATGGCATTGATCAACGATGATTTACCACAACCCATGTGGCCGATGAAGGCGAAGCGGACCTCATTCGAAGGACGAGCGTCTAGAATGCCATTGACGTGTTGGACGAGGGCCTCGACATGACAGTCGGTGTACTGGTTTCTCTGGAACACCTTCTGAAATGTGATAGAGATCTGTCCTGCGAAGTTCAGAGCGCGCTGATGGCATGATCGGTGAGGGGCGCCAGCAGCAAGCATTCTATCAGGTGTGTTGAGATCCGCGATCTTTTCTCCAGTAGTATGCATCATGATATGTGTTTTTGAGGATACTGTTGTTGTGCATAAACAAGGTTTGGAGTAGAGTAGGTCGTTAGGCCAATGTTGACAGCAGAGGAAGGTATCGATATGAAGGCTGTTGTGGGACTGCGAGTGAAGACGGTCCGGCTGAGTTCGCTAATGTGAATCACCTGAAAGGGAGGGGTAGGTAATTTGGTGGCGATGTAAGAGTGAGTCGATGAGGTATTTCTTGAGAAAGTCCGGCCGTCTTGTGAACCAGTCCAAGAACAAGATGATGTGGTTAAGATGTCGAGACTAGTTGGAGGAGAGAAGAGAGATTGGTCCGAAAAATGAGAAGGTTGAGAAGTGGGAGAGATGGTGGGATGTGTGTATGAATTGAGGAGAAGGTCTGGGAGAGATGGCGGAGGTTATTTAAATAGCTAGTCGGACCTCTCGGAGGTCGAGGTGAAGGTGTGAGGTGTAAAGGTGAAGGCTGTGTGAGCATAAAATGTACACTGAAGATGTGTAGTCCACCCTCAGTGAATCGAAATCCAGCAATATTGCTGCGAGTGGATGATGAAAGGGAGATGCCATTGAGTCTGGCAAAAACGAGATGGAGTGAATGCGTTCAAGGAAAGGATGACTTTCGTGCCAGGTTGAACGAACCCGTTGTCAGAACGCCGCTGTCGAGTGAAGAAAGCCCCTCGAGTCGTGACTACCTTCAGAAGGCCCAAGAAATTGTTCTTCTTGCCCACACACTTCTCCAGAACTCAGAACATCTCCTTGAAGCTAGATTGTATATGGAAGACAGGTTCGACGTTCATACGTGTACCTGAGAAGTATCAGTTAAAGTTATGTTTGAAAAGGCTATCTCAACTTCCCATTTCGCTCAGGACCCACCCAACTACAAAGATGCACAATGTTTCTTCATAGTAAGAATCAATATCCATGGAGCACTAGCCAACGTAAACTGTAGATCACAGAAGACCATGTCAAAGCTGAAGTATTTCAGCGTCGCAACTGCCCTCCAAACCAATCATCAGATCGCAAGATAGTTTCTATTTCAGCGTGCTTGTCCAGAGGAAGAAAGAGTCTGTAACGTTGACTGCAGGTCAACGACATTCACACTGAACTTGAGAATCTCAGCCGTTCAATCGCTCCTCAGATCTAGCTATCAAACTTCAAGACACTGTTGTAGTTAGCAAGATGGTCCAGAGAGATCAGTGTGCTACATTCTGATGGTGTCAACTATGCAAGTTTGTGCATGACCATGTGATCGGGAGCAGAAACAGGGCTCGTCAAAGTCTTGTCATTGTTCGCATTTTGTGTTCGTGATCTTATCGAGATGTATTACACATGTTTAATTCTTCCTCACCAAGATCTCATTCTGCTCCTGGCGTGTTCGTAGTGCTTCGGTGGGGTCGACTTTTTTTGGGTTCGTTCTCCTTGCTTTTCTCAATGTCATCTCCCATCTGCGGCAGTATCTCCTTTGCAAGTTGTACGCGACGAGTGAGTTCCCCCCTCATCTTTCTCTCCTCTTCTGGCTCGACTTCCTTGTCCCGATAACAGTTGACGAAGCTGTTTTGGATTTCCTGCAGGCTGGCCTGGACACTGCTGGAAAGCTCGGTGCAGTGCATGTCCAAGACTTGTTGTAATTCAGAACGAGCTGTTTCATGGACAGACGACCACAGGCCTCCCATTATGCGAAGTTGACGCCTCATATGCTGAGGCTTGCGTACATTAGAATTTTTGCCCTTGATAGCTTCAGTTGATTCGTATATCGGAACCATGCATCGCGAGGTGATTGACGCATCTCTTTCGTCTGGGTGTGGCGAGGTGAGTTCGTGAATGACACCTTCGAATTCGGCCTTGAGTGAGCTGAAGGATTCCGCGACTGTTTTTCTCATCTCCGTTTTCTTCAGGTCAACCAGATGGGAGAAGGGTTCGAGCTTCACGAAAGTCGACTGCCGATCTTCCCGGACGCTGGTACTCATTTGGTTGACATGCTCTTCCAAAGCGATGGCAATGTTAATCTCCGAATTGATAATCATGTCCAGCAGGCTCTGGCATCTGGCCAGTATGAGGGGGTTTGATATCTTGATGAGGTCTCCGTTCCAGTATAATCCGGGAAGCGCTTTGGTTTTGAGTCGGAAGCCCCTCTTCTTTACCAGGTTGCGATACTTTGGAGGACTTATGGTTTCCCATCCCTGGCAAACATCATGGCTCTGCTCATTCAGCGTCTGCTCATTGAGTATGAGGACATCCAGTATGCGCTTAATCTCGTTGTTGACCATGTCTATGAAATCTTTTACGACTGCCGAGCATATCTACGATTTGTCAGCGTTGCGCAGTTCATAGCATTGTATTTCTGGTACTCACCGGCTTCAGATCGGTCACAATTGCCTCCAACCTTTCGCTGCCATTCAGGTGAGCCTTGCAGCACCACATCTCAAAGCTGCTGATGATTGAGGGCAAGGTGTTCTCGTAATGGAACGTGACTATATTGAAAGGTCTCTCTCCAGTTGCGCGTCGCAGATAGTGACGAAGAGCAGGGATTTGGGTGTCTGCCACAGATAGGACCGGGACGCTTGATTTTTTGAATCCAGCACGGTGACTCTCATACACCAAGGTGGACACACAGAAGACAGGAAGGGGGGTTACATCCCTGGTTGTTGTCCTGTATTTATTCTGCAAAGTCTCGGTGACGTACTCATTTCGAATCATGATACCACATCGATCTTTCCTGTCAAAATGCTGTTAGTTGCGGAGAGGTGCAGATATAGTGCGCCTACTTACTGAGCTTTGGCTACCTGTAGTTTTCGCCTATAAAAGACCGTCAGCCGACGATCACTTTCTGCGGATAAGTTACTCACAGCAATTGTTCTTTTTGAACGCGATACGGTATCTCGCTCGTTGCTATTTTTTGTCTTTTGTTGGCACGGAGCTGTTCAAGCTCCTTCTCAAGCTGGTCGACTTCATCTTCGGCTTCTTGCAATCGGTCTTTCTGAACGTCGTTGGCATTTCCCCAACCTTGGAACTGGCTGAGAGAGTCGGTGTGTGTAAGAACAGGGATAACTTTTCCGATTCGGTGTGAGAAGTATCCCTTTCGCAAATATCGCAGGACTGTATCATCGTTGATTGCTCGACTGATCTGCGCTATGATAAGAACGAAGATGCTTCTCGCAAACTCCTTCTTGACCATGGCAGCTCGTGTAGGATCACAATCGTTCAAGCCAGGTGTGTCCACCAGAACAATCCCGTCGTTGAGGAGAGGGGTGTCGAGACAGAATGTGATTTTTTTGACAATGGGCCAGCAAGCACGTTCGCATCCATAGTCTTGACCCTTTTTGACGGTGGTGTGAGTGAACCCTCGCAACTCTTGGAGAAGATCCGCTGTGGTTGCAGACTCCATGACCACAGTGCTCCCAACACTCTTTTCCGTGTAATTCCTGATAATTTCTTCGGACCAACGTACCATGCGAGCGATAGCTGCTTTGTCGTTCTCGCTGTGAGCTTGGCGAAGAAACTCTTTGGTCGCCTCGACAGAAGCGCATTCGGGGCGGTTGCAAAAAAGATTGGAGATAGCCTGTATGTGCCCATACTCATCGTGGTCCTTCTCGGAGTCGTCAAAATCTATATCTTCAGAGTCGGAAACGTTATCTTCGGACGGGTCGACGGCGGCATAGGCTTGCTTGAACTCAGTAGCCATAATTTCCTCCAGCTCGGCACCGCGGTAGTATTCGATCTCTGCCCTGAAAGGTTGTGTCTGGTCAGGCCGAACCCTCCTGAATTCATGGATGACCAGCGTCTCGCTCAAGCCACTATCGCCCTGTGCTCAATGATCAGTGATGACGCTTGCGTACAGGATCTTCTTGACGTACCGTGGGAGTCAGTAATCCCACAGAGATAAGGGCATTGCTGACGCTTGATTTGCCGGACCCCATGCCACCTGCAACGGTAATACGGATTTCAATCATAGGGCAGCATTCCCTACGTTCTTCAATCATGCTGGAAAGCTTGTTGACGTTGCTGCTAGTGCTTGTGGTTTCTTTGAGCGGCTCTTCCAGAAGCTGTATGATCGCTCGGTGCTTCTCCTTGGCTTTGGCAAACGAGGGATGGTTGGCTGGGGTCTTGGGTGCCTCTTCGACTGCAGTAGCATCGTAGCTGCTGATCTCTTCATCGTCGTCGTCAGACGAATCGTAGTCGTAATCTGCTTGTCTTTTCGACATTGTGAACAGAACCGAAGCAGTGAATGTTCGAGTGCAGTGTTCCGATGTTGTCGAGTACCGGTATTCGCGATTGTTGTGCTGGATAGGTAAAAAGTCGGGACCGCCGAAGGCTTATAACCATAAAGGTAGTTGGGTAGACTGTAGATGAGATGAAGAAGTTAAATCGAGAAGCGGAGCGTAGTGGCCACGAACAGAGGGAACCATATGAACGATAGGCTAAGAAGGTGGAACAGTGCTGGCAGGTTAATATAGGAAGCAGATTGATCTAAATGTGCGAGTGAAAGGGAATGGTGTGAAATGGAGGATATACAAGGTGAGATGTCTAGAGACAGCCCACCTCACTGCAGAAGACGATAAAAAGCGGTGTCGGCTAGCAAGTGAGCGCCGCAACAAGTGTAGACAAGCTCAACACGAGTGAAGAGTATGAGGACAGTGAAAATGCACCTTCTGTCGAAATGCATCAAAGGCGACAATAGACGGTAGTGAACCGAAAGCTTGGAATCGGACCTAGCTCATTTCAGCATTGTAAAGAAGGTGATATTAGCGTGTCAATAACTGATTCAAAAGCGCCCAAAGACCTTTTTGGCCATGCCCGCAACGCCCGCTATGCTTCAGAATCCCTAAACAAAAACGCTGGTAGTATAACAATATCAACAACACGCGCCTTGCTTGCCTCGTTTCTGAACAGAAGCAGCGTCGTTCATGCCCAGATTGATGGTTCTCGCAGTGTTGCCGCCACCAGCTCCAGGACCCTTGACTCCTGATCGTCTGTCATTCAGGTCGTACTTTCCGGCCTCGATGTTTTGATATATTCTCTCTGCGACCTCACGGAAAGCTCTTTCGACATTGTCGCCGCTCTTTGCCGAGGTCTCGACGTATTGCATGACCTTATTCTCTTTACACCACGTTTCGGCTTCTTCCTGTGTGACTTGACGCTTGTTCTCGGAGCCGGCTCCCTCGGCCACTGTGGTTGAAGCAGCAAGATCGCTCTTGTTTCCGACGAGCACGACGATGATGTTTTCTTCTGCAATCTGGCGGAGGTCGTTCAACCATGCTGTCACGGCTTCGAAAGTAGCACGCCTTGTGATGTCGAAGACCAGTAGGGCACCGCTGGCACCTCTGAAGTATGATCGTGTGATTGACTTGTACGTCTCTTGTCCAGCGGTATCCCATAACGATAGTTTCATATGCTTTTGATTTGGCGAATCGGTATTTGATGGTGTTTCAGTGGTAGGGTCGGCGGACGGGTCGTTGACTTTGAGAGCTAATGAGGCAGGAGGACCAACAGGTACAATGCGACTGCCGAATTCGACACCAATGGTTACATCGTGGTGAGGGGAGAAGCGTCCTTCGCACAGTCTTATCGTGAGCTGTAAACAGTACGGGTAAGCTGCTGTTGCTGGGGAGGGACATGATATGAGCGACTACATACACTGGACTTTCCGCAACCAGAGTCACCTAGCGATACGATTTTGGCGATATAATCCCAACTTTGCGCCATGATTGTGATGTGATTGATGTGCAGAAATGGGGACAAATCGGAAAGGAGCAACAATCAAACATCTGGGTCGTTCCTGCGGCGGCCTTGTCCGCAGATCTGGAGAAGGATTGCCCTGTGCGTCAGCTGTGTCGTCATTCTGGACATGGGTGAAGATGCAACTTTTGCTCCTTCCGCACTGCATCTCTCGTCCAATTGATCCCTGTACGATGGACTGAAGGAAGTCACAGTCGCCTCCTCATTCTCTTCTCTGACCTCGAGAATGCAGGTTTCCTCACGACTTGGGAAGAGCGATACACCGAGTCTGTGTTTCGGCGACGACGGTTGAGAGCCGGGGCCGAATGACTCCCTCACATGCACGCCGCCAATGATGGAAGCCGATCGTAAACATGTGCTCCATTCGATAGTCTATTCTCAGCCTCAATATCAACTTGTCATCTCTCCTTCCACTTCTGCCTGCTTCGCTCCTTCCTCTTCTCTGAACACTTCCTTCCTCCACTAACCACTCACACGTATACACACCGTCCTTACACGTAGCAACATGGCAATCAACGCCAAGATGGAACCAAAGGCAGGAGACGCCGTAACCCCCTCGCCCGCCACTTCGAACAAGCCTGTCGTCTGTGTCTTGTAAGTGTGTTCCTGCTCGAGTCATAGAATGAAGCCTCTGACATTGCCCTTCTTAGCTGCGGTGCCTCCGGAGGCAACTCCCCCGCTCATCTTGCCGCCGCTCGCGAACTCGCCCAAGCCCTCCATGAGAACAACATGAAACTGGTATACGGAGGTGGCACTGTCGGCATAATGGGCGAAGTCGCCAAGACTCTGGTCTCCCTGGCCGGTCCGGACGCTGTCCACGGTATCATTCCCGAGGCTCTTGTCAAGTACGAGCGCGACTACAAGGAAGGCGCACCCCTGGATTCCGTTATTGACGAGTCAACCTTTGGTCGCACCACCGTTGTCGCAGATATGCACTCGCGCAAGCAAGCCATGGCTCGCGAGGTCATCGATGGCGGTGAGGGTGGTGGCTTCGTCGCACTCAGTGGAGGCTATGGCACCATGGAAGAACTCATGGAAGTCACCACCTGGAACCAGCTGGGTATTCACGCCCGTGGCGTCATCGTCTTCAATGTCGAGGGCTACTACGACGGCCTTCTCCAATGGGTGCGCACTGCCGTCAAGAGCGGCTTCATCGCAAACAACAACTCCAACATCATGATCGAAGCCAAGACTGGTGCCGAATGTGTTGAATCGCTGAAGAACTACCAAAACGCTGAAGGTAGAATGAAGTTGGAGTGGAACCAGAAATGATCTCACACCTAACAACATTCTCACCTATTGCCATGTCAGCAGCATGGAGCCAAGAAACCGGCTATCATGCCTAATCGTCCAGTACAAGCTTCGCTCGCTGTCGTCACCGAGCAATATACCGCTGGTCATTGCATCTCCATCAGGATATTACACTGACGCCGTTCGGCCGTAAGGGCTTGCCAAGTACGAGATCGATGCATACCGATGGACGCCTAAACCTGAACTGAATTCTAGAGAGCCGTGCTCACGGATAGAATGCTACATGTAGATGCATCCCAAAGCCACAAGCATATAGACGCCACGAGAAATACAGAACTAGATTCGACAGAAAGTATGCAGTCCGAACGTGAAGGCCCAACCCAAGCACGACATTTGAACGCCCTTTCTATCGGGATCCAGGTTATAATATACAGCAGTATTTCCTTCATGTGCGATCAGTTAGGGCAGAGATGGCGACAACGAGAACAGGCCCTATAAGCGGACCTATATGTGACAACAAAAGACGTTCGCTGGACCCTTGGGGCCACAATATGACGACCACCAAGCAGATTCCACCAATACCATCTTCCTACCTCGACCGGTGAGTAGACCAACATGGCAATGTCTTCCCTGGAATGCATAAGAGATCGATTATCATAATGATCACCATACCTGCAAACATTGCTGATAGGAAAAAGGCCAGTGCGGAAAACCAGCAGCCAGCAAGCAGCACGGCTAAACGCCTGTCGTCCAATGAACAAAGCAGGAATGACGTCGGCTAGCTATCCCTTCCCGTCGCCCTCGCACACATCGGAGACGGCCACTGGTCCGAAGGTGTACGGAAACCCTCCACCCCTCAAGCCAGTCACAATCATGGATCTGCTTCGGTTTCGGGACCCTTTCTTTGGTATCACGCTCCAACGGGGCACGGCGGACCAGCCGAAAGTGTAAAGGATCAGATAAGGTAAGGGTGTCTGTCGCCCTTTTCTGTTTTATGATATTAACCGGCGGTTTTGGACAGGGTGTCTCGACTGGTACGGCAGCTGGTCCGAAAGGCGTTTTGGAGAGGTACCCACGTAACATCACTCACGCCGAATGGAGATGCAAGCAAGCCATGTGGCTCTCTCTCTCTCACATGTGGGGCTGTTTTGTGGCATCGGTATTGTTAACCTTCGGCAGATGGCATAGCTGCCGGGGGAGTAAGGGCGGGATGTGGCGCACGGTTACAACGTCTAGAGTGTTAGAAAGGGAGCCGGCCACCATCGCGAGCAGAAGTACTCGGATACGCTTTGGTGAGGAAATCCGCCAAGCCCACCCACACATATCCGGGTACTTCTGCTCGCGATGGTGCGGCCTTGGTTGGTATCCTTCATCTATCGGTGATGGATGCTTGGCCGAAGGTATGCGAATGGTAGGGTTGCATTACGTACGTGCCTGCCTGCCGAATGTCTCGTGGTTTGAACAGCATGGCTCGCTAATGTATGGCCTTTTGGTGCATTATGCTCCTTCTCCAAAGATCCAAGGGAATAAGACACAGATTGTGCCTTGTCGGCCGACGGATGTATTTGCCCCCCTTAGTCGTCTTTGTCGATGCATCACAAACAAGTCTAGCGAGTCGTATCGCCTACCATGCTCTTCTTTTCCTCATGCAAAGACAAAAAGACAAGCGAACAGAGAAACGCAGAAAGAGGAAAATCAGCATGCTGATCTGTTGTTATGTCTTCTCCTCGGATGGCGGCCGTGACGCCGCGAGCGGTGTTGCATTCATTTCGCCTCATCGCCCCAAGTATGGACATTGGACAAATCGCCCCAATGTTTCGCATGCATGAGGCTGACTTGCATGTCATGCAAACGCATGCAGGTTTTTGGCAAAGGGCGTCTCAAGCAGCTGGCCGTGAGTTTGGTCCTTCCTGCAGGCTTCAACATTGCCACGTAGAATGTGCTGTGACCACATCTGGTAGAGATGTACAAGATGTTTGTCAGAGAGAATGAGGAGTTTGCGTGGAAAGAATGGCATGGGCCGGCCTGGGCTTTCCCATGCTGCAGAGGATGGGCTTTTGTTTGATGCAGGGTGAAGTACCGCGAAATATCCCTTGCGACGGTGAGACGTTTGACATGGAGATCACTCCGGGATGAGGTAATTGTGTACTCGAGCCAAACGTTGAATTGGAAAAAACGTGAATACAGTTTTGGAGATACCGCTTTCAAGGCCGAGACTATGATCAAAGGATGTTTATTGATGGACGGACAGCATTTTCCGAGACAGTGAACAACCACCATTTCCCGCAATCATGAGATGTTACATCCTTGACCAGGGCAGGAACGCCCCGTTCTTTGCACAACCAATCCCGTCACGTTCGGAGCGTGTTCATGATCTACATTAATTCCAAGGCCCAGGCCTCTGCCATACCCCCGGGTTCAAGCATATGTTAGCACATCAACATGGATGCAGCTTTCTCCATATTCGCTACCGAATAAGAAGAGCACACGACCAAGTTGTCGTAACCAGTGATGCTCGCTGGTGCTGCAGAAGAAGGGCTGATGTGGACACAGGAGAGCGGTATCTTTGACGATCCACGGAGGGCTTGCAGGGTATCCGAGACTTGGGCCGCAAACTTGGTCTGAGACGACATGTTGCCAGTGGCTTTGGTGTCGATCAAAAGGGCTGGGTCGCAATTGACAACAATGATGGCTCCTGCTTTCCGAACCCACGCGGCATGGAGATCTGTCAGACCGACTTTTGCGACGAATGGGACGTGTCGGACCCTAGCATGTCGTTTGCTCAGAGCTCGACCGAGGACCTCGAAGGGGTCCTCACGGCTGCCCTCTCTTGGGATTGCGGGTGTGAATAATATAACGAGTTGGTCTGCTGGGAGGGAGCCGAGTGCTTCCAGGCTGGAAGAAGAAGACTGGATGAAACGGACACTCGAAGATTGGACTTGGGCAGTGGTACAAGCCAACGTTGGTTTAGTATCAGCCATAATTGATGTTCCAAGATCGACAGGGCGGTATTGCCAAGTCAGGGACATTGAAGGCTTGAAGAAGGGTCCAAGACTGTTTTGATATGTCGAGATAAAGTTTGAACTCTCGAGAGTGGTGCTGAAGAGAGCAGAAAAACAGGAAGGCGCAGTTCTTCCTGGGCTTATAAGTCTAGCGTCTGAGATAGTCTTGAAACTCACAGACTATGGCCAGGTAGTCAATAAGCACCATGACGGTATCCTTGATCCGTAGACCAATTGAAAAATCTGCTCGGGCAATCGTTCATGCATTCAATGCATCAAGCCTCGAGCCATGATCTCCCCATCGGAAGAACGGTCTTTTCCTCTCTCGTACTTGACAGAAGAGCCCTTCAACGTTGTGGCTGAGATCGGCGAAGAGGTCGACCTTGGACCAAGGAACGAGCACGATGCAGGGTGGGTAGTCGCGCAAACAAAGTGGGGCAACATGGCAGTGTCCACCATATGCCAAGCTGAAACTTCGTCTATGAGCATGACAAACCTGATCCTGGAACGGTCATAGAGAGTAACAGCATGGATTTATTGACAGATGTGTGAGGCGTATAGTACCTCTGGCAGTTGTATCTTCCGACATGTCACAAATTCGAGACGGGAGCGGAATCTACACGAGACGCCTCCCTACCAGATTGAATGGACCTACTGTTAACCAGACAGGCAACCCATGACTTCGATAGTAATCATGATCCATGGATACGATGACTTTCGTGCCGTCTTCAAACGGACCGCTCGGCTGCGCGAAACATAGGGGGAGAGCTGCGGCATTCCACATAGCATATTGATATTGGGTCGACCGGGCGTCAGGGAGGTCATTAAATGGAACGGCTAGAATTAGTCTCGATTTCTATGCTATTTCAATTCATTGAAATCCAGCTATCTAGATGTCAGTTCCATTGCAGTTGCAGTTCCATTTTAATTGAAATCATGCTCTATATAGCTACCTCGTCGTCGTCGTCGTCGTTAAAGGCTTTAATGTCGATATATTCGTCGTCCCCTACCTCTTATATAGGAAGGTAGTTAAACCGCTAGTTTTTCTTCTAGTTCTTAAGGCACTTAATTATCTCTATGTGTTCAAAGCTAATCTAAGCTCTATCCTATAATAGAGTTCGTCTATAGCTGCTAAACACTCGCTTAGACTCTACTAATATAGGGTTTGCTAATAGTACGTCGATAGCTATCTACGATAGGTTAGGATATTGTCGACGCTACTAAGGCTCGAGCTACCATTATAGAGGGTTATTAATAGCGAGGGGGTCGCCTTTAATAAAGTAGTCGAACTCATTAGTAATAGGTTTAACGACGTTTAAGGTCTTCTTCTACTCGTGAAAATTCCTAATATTTAGACTACCTATTGTCGTAGATGTAGTAGGTGCTATAGTAGCTATAGCTATCGAGACAACTTAATATTCCTAGTTATATAGACTCCTCGTAGCTCTTACTCCTTTACTAATCTAGTTATCCTCCTAATGGGCTATAATGTAGCTATATTAATACGCTAGGTAGAAGAGGATTGTAGACTAGTATACGGGCGATTTGTCGTTAGTAGTATACTACTATTCGTAGTAGTATTAACTAGACTAGAGTACGGCGAGGAACGGAGCATTATGTTAATGCTAGATAGCGGCTTAATCGTAGTAGAGTCTAAGGAAGTCTATAGCAATAATGACCTAGGTTAAAAGTTAGCAATATTTATAAAATCCTACCCTATTAGAGACATACCTACTTAAGAGTTACGCCGTCGCCCTCTACGTCCTTAGTAATAAGGAGGAACTACTTAAGGAAGTCGTAGGTGTCCTAAATGACTACCTAATGCTTTAGATATAGAGGATATCTATATAGTTCTAGGTGTTCGACCTACTAGCGGGTAAGGATATTATAGTATTATAGGGCTCTCTCGAACATCTTAAAATAGCTATTCTACCTCGTCGAATTATTAGTAAATATAGTATAGCCTATAGTAACTTTAAAGAGGCGAGTAAGACGCTTATACTTCTTAATAGTCTTTATTAACTACTTAAGGTAACGAATAGCCTCCTCGGCGGGCCGCGGCCTATTTAGACTTACTACGCTATAGCACCTTAGCCGGATTATCGTAGTTAGCTATCCTCTTTGCCTCGTCGATAGCTTCCTTAGTTAAGGCACTCTAAAAGGCTTAAAGCATTAGATTAGTCTAGTAACTAAAGCACCGCGTCCGATACTAAATAGGATCCTAATTAATAGATCTATCCTCTTATAATTGCTTAGATAGGGCTCTTATTATAGTATCGTTATAGGTAGCGTTATCTAAGGTAATGTATCTAGGGTTAATAAGGTCTAATAACAGTTTAATTTATAGACTATCGTACGAAGGAGGGAAAGAGGAGCGTAAGCTTAAACTAGCTAATATAGTGCGTTACGAGGTGCGCGACGTAGGGCCTTAGCGTTACTCGGTAGTAGCCGAGGACTATAGTTCGAATTAGAGCTAAACTATATTATTACCCCCCCTTTAGAAAGCGAGCTCCGTTAAGCTTCGAAATCGCCTAATTCTGCGATAAAACCCTTAGTAGTAGAAACATATATGTTTACTCTATTTGTTTCCATTTCCTTAGCTATCGACTTAGCTATTAGAGTAGCTCTATAGACGGTCCTTCTATATCCTTAACCGTCTACTTAGTCTTCTATCTATGCTGCTCTAAGCGTAGAGTTCTCGTCTCTAGGGATTAAGGCGTCGTATATAAGTAATAGAGTACGTTAAGCGAGCTTAGAGGACTTATACCTTAGGCAAAGAGCATAAGAGGACTAATTCTTTACTAGGTTAGTATAAGAGTATAAAGGTATATAGCAACGTATAAAGTCCTACTAGTAATATAGTTACTAATAGTAAAGACTAATCGATGCCCCGAGTATTAGTGTCTTCGAAAGTAAAGATATGCTTATATATACTAAGCCTCGCTTAGAGGCTTAGGCTTTGTTATAGAGGCTACCCTAGCCTCTCTAGTAATAATTATCCCCTCCTCTATACGGTTATCCGTAACCGAGAGGCTAATAGTCGGTATACTGCATATAGCTAGCGTATAGTACGTAATGCGTGCTTTATTTATAGTTACCTCGTATATAGCTCGTAAGGGCTCGTATAGGGGGAGTAGCGTCTACTTTACTTGCTCCTAAATCTAGCGTTACGTCGCGTACGGCCGGAATTCGTAAAATTGTCGCGTTATATATACGTCGCGTACGGGCTCGCTTCCCTAGGCTTTACTAGAGTACGCCCTAGCGTCGTAATAATAACGCTATTATCTTAGTAGTCTATACTATAGCATAACATATAGAATTTCAAATTACGCTAGCAATTCTTCCTCCTATTAGCTTTATAACATCTGCTTAGTAGCCCTAATACCTCTAGTAAGTAACCCTTCCTAATGCTACTTATCCTTTCTAATATATGCGCCGCTTACGCTAAGCATATGTTTAATAGTTTCGACTTTTTTCCGCTTATAGAATTGTTTTATTATAACCGTATGTACGTAGCATACGCGCGGCATACGCGTTAACCTTACTTATCCTCTCCTCTAATAGGCTTACTCTATAAGTTAATTACGTACCTTATACTAACTTTCTAGTAGATAGATCTCGCAATATTAAATTCCGATCTTACTCGCTTTAAGCGCGAATCCGTAGCTCGTCTACGCGAAGAAGAGGCTTGCTATAAGGGCGTATCTAAGATAATTGCCTTCCTTATACCCCGTCGTCCCCTTTACTCGCGTTCTACTAGTAGCGCGTATAGTTCCGGCTCTCGCTATAAGCCTAGTACTCTACGTAACCTGTTCCCTAGTCCCGGATCCTAGTACCGCCGTCGCTATAAGGCCCCTATGTCCGTCTATACTTCTCCGGATATGCTCCTTAACGGTACTCTTATAGTATCCGCTAATCGTATACGTCGTATCTACGAGGAGTTACTTACTCTATCTTACCCTCGCTAACCCGACTTTAGTAGTAGCTCTACTTTACGCCGCCGTCGCGCTAAGCGCTCCTTATCCCCCTTCTAGGACTTAGTTACCCTTACCCGTCGTAGTCGCGCTAAGCCCGCTTCTAGCTCTACTTATACCTCTTATAGTATACGTTTTAATAAGACTCCCCTTAAGGAGTAGCTTATTACCCTACGCTACTATATTAAGGAGCTCTCGGCTACCTTACCTAGCGTACGCTATATACCTACCTCTTATAATAAGGAGGACCCTACCCTAATGTCTAGAGGTGCCGGCGGACCGGTTAACCCTACTTTAAACGCTAGCTTACTATACGTTCGCCCTAGTCCTACTAACGACCTTAATACTTATAGACGCGCCGACCGCGCTACGGAGGAGGACTACCTTACTACCTTAGAGAGAAACTAGTATAAGTATAATCTTCTACGCTATCGCTCTCCTTACCTCGACTCTACTAGCCGCGGTCGTAACGCTACCTATACCTATATGCCTAAGCATATCTTACTTACTAATCGTACTTATCGTCTATACGCCGTTAGTCCTAAGGAGCGTAAGCGCTATCGTCGCGACTTCGAGGCCGCTACTAAGGCTAAGCGCCTTATTAATGCTAAGGAGCTAGTTAAGGAGGAACGCTGCGCTATAGAGTATAGTCGTCGTCTCTCCTACGGCGACCTCCCTATCTTTAACCTACGCTCGCGTTCTCGTTTACGCTTACCCTTACCGAACTTCCTAGCTAGTTACGCCGTTAGCACCGTCGAGGTGCTCTAGAATTTTATATGCTTTCGCTATACTTAGTACCTAAAGGCTACTAACATCGGTAAGTTCCTAGTACTACCCTTATACGATACGTATACGCTAACATTTTTTCTTAGACGCCTATAACGCTTCTTACGAGCCGGGCATATCTAAGGCGTACTAGCGCTACGCTAGTAACCGCTATAAGTGTATCCCTCTATACGCTATCTTAACTCTATACTTTAACGACGTCGTACGCGCTAAGGACGCCTTATTCCTCGCTAAGTACTACTAGTTGTCGTACCTACGTACCTACGAATTAATCGTCTAGCGTACCCTACTCGAGTTCTATAACTATTGCCGTTAGTACGGTAACTCCTTAACCTAGCGCGTTAGCAACATTGCCGTCCCTTATATGTTCTACTATAATATAACTATAGACGAGATTATACGCTATAAGACCTTAATTAAGTCGTAGCGCCTACGCTACGCCTTTAAGGTAGTAGCTACTCCTTATAAGCGCCGTTCTCGTAGTCGTTCCTAT